GGCCATGTGTGCGGCAAGTGAGCTGCGGCTGAATGTACGGACACTCCGATTCTCTATAAAACGGACGCGTTGACCAGTCTTTGACCCAATTCCCTTTGAACACATCGCATCCTTCCGGCGTCTTCCCCAACGCAAAAGCAGGTGGTGGTGGAGATGGCGGAGGAGGAGACGGTGGTGGAGGAGACGGAGGTGGAGGAGACGGTGGTGGAGGCGGAGGAGGTTCGTCCACTACAACGACGATTGCGGATTGGTGGACGATTGTCGGAGAGTGAAGAGATCGACGGGAGAAAGAGATGAAATGATGACCGTAGATGAAGGCGGCGAGTAAGATGAAAGCGAGTACGGTGAAGAAGAAATGAGTGAGACGGCGTTTTCTACGGTGCGACGGTGATAACAACGCCGATGTCATTTTTTTTTCTTTATAACGTTTACTTTTTTTTTTTTCTTTTCTTTTCACTTTTTATGCCTTTTATGTATTATGACAAAATTTGGTTCAGATTAAAAATGAAATTTGGAGTATAGTGAATTATAGTCTATGATGATGATTAATATAATAAAAAAAAAGCTATAGTTTGTTGCACTTGCACGATCCAAAACCAAACCCATGTTCTTGCCCATAATTAAGCACGACTGTTTATATTTTAATTCGAACTTACAAATGTATGTTCGTAAGACTTTTATATTATTAAAATGAATATAAGAGTGTTTTTAATTAGTAGGAAATTGTTATGTTAATAATTATGATTAATTGTTAGTTGCTTAATTACGTTTTCTTTCTTTCGATTCAATTCTCGTTTGGAACAATTTCGTTGTTGTTAAGCCAGCAGCTGGTTATGATTTGAGCTCGAATGTTTAAACTGTAACGCAATGTGTGTTGTATCCAATGAAGTCGTCTAATCCGGATTTGAAACAAAAAGAAAGGAAGAAAGCCACTACACTTTTTGCTAATCACATGTTTCAACTTTTAAAGGATCAACATTTAACCTTGTATTCAAAGGCCTAATAAGCATTTTATCAGATCCAACAAAGAAGAATCCAACTTTTCATGCCTTAATCAGTAATCACAGAGGCCCATATATAAATATCTTAACCTCTCCGCTTTCGTGTAGTTTAGTTTACTTAAGAAAAGAAAAAAATGAAATTGTCATGTCGTTAGATTCACATAAAAAGAATGATAAATTCATATGCTCTGTTTTTTTATTTGCGTACGAATAACGAAAAGAAAAAAAAAACAATTAAAAAAAAAAAGGAAGCCATCGTCATCGTCTATTCGTCTTCGTCTGTTGACCTCTGAAAAATGCGAGAGCTTCTTCGCGCCTATTTCTCTCGAAGAACTCTCGTATCTCTTTACAATCTCTTCTTCACACTCTCCCATAAGCTCCTCACTTCATTCCCTCTCTCTCTCCTCATGCCCAAATCCAATGACGCCGATGTCGCAGAATCTGAAGCCGTTCCGTTGCTCGATCTTGCCAAGCCGTCGTTACCTATATCTTTCCCGATCAAATCTCTTCAAGATCTGAAATCTCGTTCTTACTTCGTTTCCTTTCACTTCCAGTTTAATCGCTCCACCGTACCTCTCCGGCGAGACTCCGATGACTTACCGAATCGCCCAAGGGTTTTAGTCTGCCATGACATGAAAGGAGGGTATGTAGATGACAAGTGGGTACAAGGATGTGAAAACGACGCCGGATTTGCGATTTGGCATTGGTATTTGATGGACATTTTTGTTTACTTCTCTCATTCTTTGGTCACTCTTCCTCCTCCTTGCTGGACTAATACTGCTCATAGGCATGGCGTTAAAGTAAGTAAGCTCAATACTTTTTGATTTTTTAACATCGAAAGTTTCGATTTTTGTTGAGATATCTCTGAGT